ATGACAGACAGACAGATAGATAGATAGACCAAACAAATGACAGACAGACAGACAGATAGATCCAAAACAATAGACAGACAAACAAAATGGTAGATAGATATAGACATAATCATAAAGAATGAGACAAAGAACAATAGATAGAATGATAGATAGAATGATGCTGTAGACCAGGGGTGGCGAACGTTGCTCCTGGAGAGCCGCAGCCCTGCAGATAGACCAAACAAATGACAGACAGACAGATAGATAGATAGACCAAACAAATGACAGACAGACAGATAGATAGATAGACCAAACAAATGACAGACAGACAGATAGATAGATAGACCAAACAAATGACAGACAGACAGATAGATAGATAGACCAAACAAATGACAGACAGACAGATAGATAGATAGACCAAACAAATGACAGACAGACAGACAGACAGATAGATCCAAAACAATAGACAGAAACAAAATGGTAGATATAGACATAATCATAAAGAATGAGACAAAGAACGATAGATAGAATGATAGATAGAATGATGCTGTAGACAGACAAACAGAACGATAGACAGAAAGAGACAGACAAAATGAACGAACAAAAGACAGACAGTATGATAGAAAGATAGACAGAAAGACAGACAGACACGGCAATACAGAGATAGATAAAAAGAATGGCAGAGGGATAGAAAAAGAACAATAGGTAGAATGCAAGATAGAATGATACTGTTGATAGACAAACCGAACAAACGAACGATAGACAGAAAAACAAAGACAGACAGACAGACATAATGAACAAAAGACAGACAGTGATAGAACAATAGACGGACAGACACAGCAATACAGACAGACAGACAGACAGACAGACAGACAGATAGATAGATAGAATCAGACACAGGCGGTGAGTTCTTTACCCAGGTCCATGTCGTCGGCCTGTGGGCGATGTGAGTACGGGATGCCTTTGTAAACAGCATCTAGCAGCTTGTCCTTCACCTGAGTGATCGTGTCACAGTTTAGCACCTTAACAGGGATTTCTGTACCGGCCTCTCCCTCCGGAGGAATACACATGAGCGTCTGAGACAGAGCAACACAGAGATCCGGGATAACATTAGTAACAATAGAAAACATGACAATATTGATGGACAAGATGACCAGCAAAGACACAAAAACACGTCTCCATTAAAATCTAGTATGCAGACCACACACACTAACATACACATGGACTTAAGAGGGTGTGGAAAGGTCAAGGCACATTTTATTATACACAGCGGGAGACTGGAGCTCTATTTGGCCCGGCTCTGCCAGCATATCAAAGATTGATCGGGATCCTGTTTCATGCTTCGGCCTGATTTATCATAATAGCCATCTCAACTTTAACTGTTATGTCAATGGTGAAATATTTACCCGCCTGCAAAGCGGTATTCAGAATATGTGAAACACGCAGGTTTTGATAAAACGGTCACAGATCGATAAAAACAAACGGCAAGAGGTGATTGATCCGGCCACAAACTAGGATTCATATGACATGTCTGAAGGTAAAAGATACTTTATGCTGAAGTGTGTAATATTTTTGATGTTTAATATGCAGAGACAACCATAAGAAAGACATTTATAGGTTTATTCCCCAGAATAGTGTAAACATCTTCTCTGTTGTGCTAACAAAATATTGATCCGTTTGTTTTTAGCAGCCTAACCAACACAGCAGCATTGAGTCAACCAATGGCATGACTTTGGGGGCAGGATTATTTGTTTGACAGACCAATGACAGACAAAGAAGTGTTCAGCAAATTTTAGGGGAAAAAGTAAATGAATGAACAAACAAGTTCAAATGTACAGAATTTGACATTATTAACATTTCAAGTGCTAACAAAATGTTAATCTGTTTGTTTTTAACATCATGAAAACAGCAACACTGACTCAACTAACGGCATGACTTTGGGGCGGGTCTATTTGTTTGACTGACCAATGACAAGACGAAGAAATGTTCAGCAGAAATTTCATAGAAAAAAAGTAAATGTATGAACAAATAAGTTAAAATTCACAGAATTTGACATTATTACGGTTTCAAGTGCTAACAAAATTTTGATCTGTTTGTTAATAGTATTATGACAAACACAGCAACACTGACTCAACCAATGGTGTGACTTTGGGGGCGGGACTATTTGTTTGACTGACCAATGACAAGACGAAGTGTTCAGCAGAAATTTCATAGAAAAAAAGTAAATGTATGAACAAATAAGTTAAAATTCACAGAATTTGACATTATTACAGTTTCAAGTCCTAACAAAATTTTGATCTGTTTGTTAATAGTATTATGACGAACACAGCAACACTGACTCAACCAATGGTGTGACTTTGGGGGCGGGACTATTTGTTTGACTGACCAATGACAGATGAGGAAGTGTTCAGCAGAAATTTCAGAGAAAAAAGTGAATAAACGAACTAGTTAAAATTGACAGAATTTGACATTATTAATGTTTTAAGTGCTAACAAAATATTGATCTGTTTAATTAGAGTATTATGACAAACACAGCAACACTGACTCAACCAATGGCGTGACTTTGGGGGTGGGACTATTTGTTTGACTGACCAATGACAGACGAGGAACTGTTCAGTAGAAATTTCAGAGAAAAAAGTAAACAAATTAATGAGTAAGTAAGTTTAAATGCACAGAATCTGACATTATTACTGTTTCAACGCTGGTCAAAAATCATGAGATTAATCATAAAACAAAAAAAAACCATGGTACCATGTCCAAATAAAACGTAGTAACATGGTACATTTAATACTTCTGTCAGTTTATGAATGAATCTTTTACTGTATGAATGTACTGCACATAATATTTTGCCATACTTACTATGGTAAAGCCTTCATAAAGCTATAAAACCGTCATGCAGCCATATAGCATTGATAAAATAAACAAGACAAGCTGTAGAATGTGTGCATCAGCTCATTTATGCAGCCAGTAGCATAAGCGAAATCATAAAAAAACAGCCTTCAGCACTTACCGAGCGAGTAACACATACAAATAACAGCTTCATAAACAGACAGGCGAGTTACATTAAAGAGCCGAGCGTTTATTATGAAGCCGATGCTTTGATATATCTCCATTCACACCGTGACAACAGTCCATATAAATTCATGAGAAGACCTTTTGTGTGCATGGGCTGCGTTAATCGTGTGATTAAAACAATGCAGCTGGCACTGGTGCGCGACTGTGCATCCGTAATCGCGGCTACTCGCTGATCATTAGCTCATGGCAATTCTTCCCCTCCAGCCGCGGCTCACACGCGAGGAGTTTGTGATTAAAACCCAATTAAACAGTAAATTACGGAATTCTCTCGGAGACAGAGCCCGGCTATATTTAGGACATCCGGCGTCGGTTTAGGAGCTGGATTGGGTTGAAACTCAGAGCTTGGAGGAAATGAGGGTTTTACGAAAGCTTAACACCATAAAGATCAGTTCTCGTCTCTGGCTGTGTGTGTGTGAGTGTGTGTGAAGATGAGTGTGTAAAGGTGACTTTAGTGTGTCCTTTAGCACGTGTTCACACACCCACAGGCAGACTTCCTGGCACAACTGAGATGTTTAATGCTTAAAGGAAGAGTACATAGAGTACAAGAGTAGTTTTGAAATATCTTATGTATAAATCATCTTCATTTGATCAACTATCAACATTTAAATGAACATTAGGGATATAAAAATTGATTGACTGATGCCTCAATCTGCCACTGAAAATTGATTACATTGTTACTATTATTATCATATAATATAGAATTATATATAGTATAAATTAATAACATTTATATACGATAATAATAACATAACTACTGTGGTGGCACCAATATTAAAATTCTGGCTGATACCTAAATACATATTATTATTATCATGATTATTATTATTATATAATATATATTGATATATGATTATAATATATATTACATATCACATATATACTATGATGCCACCAATTCTTTATTAGTATGTAAATACTACTACTACTACTAATTCTTATTGTATAAATTAGAAAAATTATATCTTATTATATTATTATTTGTATTGTCTTATTATATATTAAGATATAATAATAATAAATGACTAAATGTAAATGTCATAATATATAATATTATAAAAATATATAATAATAAATATAATATTTTCATTACTATTACTATTAATATTCTATGTGATTTAGCCTAAAAAAAATAGAATTTCAATTATTTTGACAAATAGTTTTAAATACTACACATGAATTTAGCCAGTAAAACTGTGCAATGGCAAAGACAATCTAAATGTAATAATATGGCACAAATGAACATGCACAATTAAATATCTAATATGCAAAGCTGAACTGACCAATCAGGATTCAGAACTGGAACAATCTAATTTATAATTCATGACGTGTCGCATTTTTTAACAAAGAATCGAAACAAGGGCAAATATTTACACTCCTAATGAATACATCAACATACACGCTGTGTTACAGGTGAGCCTGACCTTTTCTGACGGCCCCTAGGGTCCTCTCTTTAGGGTTGACAGCTAAGACAGCTGAATAACTGTGCCACATATCGACTCCCCTAAGCTGATCTATCCTGAATACCGTGGAATTGATGAGCTGTCCTATAGCTTTAACTACCACTGAGGAGCCATAGATTAAAGATCATTCATTGGTCGGCTCGTATTGTTCCATTTAAAATCAATGCACAGAACTCTGTCGGCGCAGACAGTAAATATGCTCTTTTGTGTAGTCATGTTTGTGTAAGTGAGAGAGACAGTGTAAATCAGCCACTGTATTTCCTGGCTGTCTGCTGAGAGGAGCATTGGGGTTGTTTTATGAGTGCCATGATAAATTCTCAGATTTGTTTCAGTCATTACAGGCTCTGATCAGGTCGTTCTTTGTTTTTTCTCAATTGACTTCTGTCCCTGTTTCGCCACCTCTGACAAACCCCGCTCTGAAAGTCACATTATAACTCTGCTTGGCCTGATATCATCTGTCTGATTGACATTTGAGCTCTCGAGTCAGTTTTAAGGCCGATGGGACACTAATGACCACTAGGATTCAGAATTAAGAACTGGATCTTAATCAGAACCAGAAAAAAAAACAGATACTTGATCTTGCATTGATCTTACAAATGCAGGCAGAATACTGTCATAAAATATTAAATATAAGCATGACAGCTATTGACATGATGACAAAGCCTTTAAAATAAAAAAAACAATGTAATATTGCAGTATGATATTTCATACAAATGCATTTGATTCATATTACAATTGTCGCACATGTTATTCATACCAAAAACTTGGACTTGGTGTGAAAAGACCTTGTAAAGCGTATATTAGTAATATTAAATTAAGTCTTAGTCAGGGTTAAAACTAAAACCATAAAAAAAATTTGTTTTTGTTACTTCAATTAAATAAACATTAACTGAAATAATAAAAATTTAAATAAATGTATATTATTCCAGCTAGTTGCAAAGCAATATCTAATTTTAGTTTAACTTGTACTAAAATAACTAAAACTAAGACTAATGAATACAAAGTAATTAAGACTATACACACATATAAACACAGATAATAAAAATGACAAAAACACAAAACATATGTCCTAAAACTAAAGAGAAGAAAACACAAAAATTAAATCTACTTCAAAATATGAACAAAATTATAATAGTACCCTAAAACAACACTGGAATTAGTATTAATAGATATCATTTCTAGCTGGAAGCGTCTGAAATGTAAAACTTTTGTAGTGTTTTGGTACTTTTCAAACGTATATTTGAGCTGAAGTCAAACACTTGTGGTCTTCAATGAGGCAGGGAGTGCTGGGAGACAGGAAGAGGGATTATGGGATATGTGAGAGAGCGTCACCACAGGAACACTGACCAGCTGCTTGTAGTCGATTTGCTGTCGGATGAGCTTGTCTTCGCTCAGGGAGTATCTGGCCTCTCCTGTGATGGCGTCTATGGGACCTTTTTCCATCTGCTGTTTTATAGCACAGTAGAGCATAAACAGAGGCTCGCCAGCACACTCCTGCACAGAGAGAGAAAGAGAGAGAGAGGGAGGGAGAGAGGTCATATTCTACACTTCTGAAGAATTTTATTTTCTCCCTAAAGTCCACTTATAATGTTAGTCAAGGTTTCTTGCAACAAAGTTTCATATGTTTATTTTCCACCTTCTCACTGACCCACAGAATTTAACAGGCTGTTTTTTGCTACTGTACCTTTAAGACCTCTATATAAATAAAAATATCTGTTACGATTGGCTAAGCAATCCATTCTGGTTAATGCATACTCACACAACATCCATAAAAATACTGAGCTAATTAACTAAGTAACTATTTCATTGAGTTTCATGAAGCAGAAATAAAGTCAATATATATACTACTGTTCAAAAGTTTAAAAAAATTTTTTTTTTTTAAAGAAATGTTTACCTTTTTGTCAGAAAGGGTGCATTAAATTGATAAAAAAGTGACAGTGAAGACTACATTGGTGTAATAAAATTTGCATTTAAAATGATATTTATTCTATTCAAAGAATACTGAAAAAAAAAAAATATATGTATTATCAAATATTGCAATTTCAACATTGCTAATAATTAGAAAGGTTTCTTGAGCAGCAAATCAGCATATTAAAATGATTTCTGAAAGATCATGTGACACTGAAGGCTGGAGTGGTTCAGCTTTGCATCTCACCAACACCAAACTTTTGAACGGTAATGTAAACGTAAACACTAGAGATCCCAAACCCATTAAAATCACTATACGAAAACACAGACATCCAATGTTAATAATTAAAATAAAAACATTGAAAAGAAAACAAATCCTATAAAAAATAGTGTTTACGTCTCATAATCAGAAGCTTTGCGTTGTGAACATTTTAGTACGTCTATGTAGAACCTCAGCGCTTTTATTTCCAAAAGAGCAAGGAAATCATGTTTTCCATTACATGTCTCCTTTAAAACCTTTTACCTTTAAAGAACACGCTGAAGAACTCAAGACGACTTCCTGCGCAAAATACCACAGAACATCAATTCAATAAAATCACAACGAGCTGTAATTTTCACACACTTCGAAAACGCCTAATTGCGCCTTTAAATACAGAGCAAGAAGCAATGAAAGGAAAGAGAAAAGACATGTTCTGACCAAAAGGAAGCGAAAAGGAGAAACAAGGCGGTGAGCGTGCAGAGAAAGAAAGCGCGGCCGTGAGAATGAGAGACACGCGTCCGATCACGGTTCTTTTCAGATGGCATTTGTGAAGTTTGGAGAAGTCTCCAATTACCCACTTAAAAGCGTTTGATGACTAAACAGCGATACGGAGGGGAGGCTATTATTTAGTTCTTAGGCGAGATCAGCTTGACATTATTAATTACAGCATGACATCCTGAATCACACTCTTCTAACGCAGGCGTAGAGGGTTACCCAGCATCCATTGCACGCCTAACTGCAAGTAATTCTAAACAACCAGCCTCCGAACTCTATGTCAAATGCATTTAGTCTTAATATATACATTAAATCCTCATCTTTCTATTGCTTTTAGAGGCTGCCGGCATTCTGGCTCCGTCTGCTATTCATAGTCTGGCCGTTAGACCCTGTTATGACACAACAGATGTGTGTCACGGGATCCGCGCCAGGTTTCGATCGCTAACGGACACGTTTGAACGTCAAATTCACACGGTTTAACGTATGCAGTGTAAATGCAGATGGCATGAACTGACAGCACAAGAAAAAGCCCTAAATATCTGTTAACAGATATTTATGTTACCCTTGTAGGATTAAAGGTGCGTTCACGCCATATCGGAATTCCCGTAATTACGAGATTCCAACTTGTAAAAAGCGTTCACGTCCTCGTAGAACTCGTAATTACAACTTGTGAACTGGGAGTTTTCTGAGAGCTACGACTTGTATCAACTGACCGCTGTACCATCTGACCACCGCAGGCTCTGTTTAGGCGTTGATTCAGAACCAGAAAAAAAAACAGATACTTGATCTTGCATTGATCTTACAAATGCAGGCAGAATACTGTCATAAAATATTAAATATAAGCATGACAGCTATTGACATGATGACAAAGCCTTTAAAATAAAAAAAACAATGTAATATTGCAGTATGATATTTCATACAAATGCATTTGATTCATATTACAATTGTCGCACATGTTATTCATACCAAAAACTTGGACTTGGTGTGAAAAGACCTTGTAAAGCGTATATTAGTAATATTAAATTAAGTCTTAGTCAGGGTTAAAACTAAAACCATAAAAAAAATTTGTTTTTGTTACTTCAATTAAATAAACATTAACTGAAATAATAAAAATTTAAATAAATGTATATTATTCCAGCTAGTTGCAAAGCAATATCTAATTTTAGTTTAACTTGTACTAAAATAACTAAAACTAAGACTAATGAATACAAAGTAATTAAGACTATACACACATATAAACACAGATAATAAAAATGACAAAAACACAAAACATATGTCCTAAAACTAAAGAGAAGAAAACACAAAAATTAAATCTACTTCAAAATATGAACAAAATTATAATAGTACCCTAAAACAACACTGGAATTAGTATTAATAGATATCATTTCTAGCTGGAAGCGTCTGAAATGTAAAACTTTTGTAGTGTTTTGGTACTTTTCAAACGTATATTTGAGCTGAAGTCAAACACTTGTGGTCTTCAATGAGGCAGGGAGTGCTGGGAGACAGGAAGAGGGATTATGGGATATGTGAGAGAGCGTCACCACAGGAACACTGACCAGCTGCTTGTAGTCGATTTGCTGTCGGATGAGCTTGTCTTCGCTCAGGGAGTATCTGGCCTCTCCTGTGATGGCGTCTATGGGACCTTTTTCCATCTGCTGTTTTATAGCACAGTAGAGCATAAACAGAGGCTCGCCAGCACACTCCTGCACAGAGAGAGAAAGAGAGAGAGAGGGAGGGAGAGAGGTCATATTCTACACTTCTGAAGAATTTTATTTTCTCCCTAAAGTCCACTTATAATGTTAGTCAAGGTTTCTTGCAACAAAGTTTCATATGTTTATTTTCCACCTTCTCACTGACCCACAGAATTTAACAGGCTGTTTTTTGCTACTGTACCTTTAAGACCTCTATATAAATAAAAATATCTGTTACGATTGGCTAAGCAATCCATTCTGGTTAATGCATACTCACACAACATCCATAAAAATACTGAGCTAATTAACTAAGTAACTATTTCATTGAGTTTCATGAAGCAGAAATAAAGTCAATATATATACTACTGTTCAAAAGTTTAAAAAATTTTTTTTTTTTTAAAGAAATGTTTACCTTTTTGTCAGAAAGGGTGCATTAAATTGATAAAAAAGTGACAGTGAAGACTACATTGGTGTAATAAAATTTGCATTTAAAATGATATTTATTCTATTCAAAGAATACTGAAAAAAAAAAAATATATGTATTATCAAATATTGCAATTTCAACATTGCTAATAATTAGAAAGGTTTCTTGAGCAGCAAATCAGCATATTAAAATGATTTCTGAAAGATCATGTGACACTGAAGGCTGGAGTGGTTCAGCTTTGCATCTCACCAACACCAAACTTTTGAACGGTAATGTAAACGTAAACACTAGAGATCCCAAACCCATTAAAATCACTATACGAAAACACAGACATCCAATGTTAATAATTAAAATAAAAACATTGAAAAGAAAACAAATCCTATAAAAAATAGTGTTTACGTCTCATAATCAGAAGCTTTGCGTTGTGAACATTTTAGTACGTCTATGTAGAACCTCAGCGCTTTTATTTCCAAAAGAGCAAGGAAATCATGTTTTCCATTACATGTCTCCTTTAAAACCTTTTACCTTTAAAGAACACGCTGAAGAACTCAAGACGACTTCCTGCGCAAAATACCACAGAACATCAATTCAATAAAATCACAACGAGCTGTAATTTTCACACTTCGAACGCACCTAACTGCACCTTTAAATACAGAGGAAAAAGCAATGAAAGGAGAGAGAAAAAGACATATTCTGACCAGAAGGAAGCGAAAAAGAGATTCAAGGCGGCGAGTGTGCAGAAAAAGAAAGAGCGGCCGTGAGAATGAGAGACACGTCCGATCACGGTTCTTTTCAGATGGCATTTGTGAAGTTTGGAGAAGTCTCCAATTACCCACTTAAAAGCGTTTGATGACTAAACAGCGATACGGAGGGGAGGCTATTATTTAGTTCTTAGGCGAGATCAGCTTGACATTATTAATTACAGCATGACATCCTGAATCACACTCTTCTAACGCAGGCGTAGAGGGTTACCCAGCATCCATTGCACGCCTAACTGCAAGTAATTCTAAACAACCAGCCTCCGAACTCTATGTCAAATGCATTTAGTCTTAATATATACATTAAATCCTCATCTTTCTATTGCTTTTAGAGGCTGCCGGCATTCTGGCTCCGTCTGCTATTCATAGTCTGGCCGTTAGACCCTGTTATGACACAACAGATGTGTGTCACGGGATCCGCGCCAGGTTTCGATCGCTAACGGACACGTTTGAACGTCAAATTCACACGGTTTAACGTATGCAGTGTAAATGCAGATGGCATGAACTGACAGCACAAGAAAAAGCCCTAAATATCTGTTAACAGATATTTATGTTACCCTTGTAGGATTAAAGGTGCGTTCACGCCATATCGGAATTCCCGTAATTACGAGATTCCAACTTGTAAAAAGCGTTCACGTCCTCGTAGAACTCGTAATTACAACTTGTGAACTGGGAGTTTTCTGAGAGCTACGACTTGTATCAACTGACCGCTGTACCATCTGACCACCGCAGGCTCTGTTTAGGCGTTGATAGTGTTGCCATAGAAAAGCATAATTCCGAGTCCGAGGACGTGAACAGCTCCGAGTAGAACGTCACGTGTGTCATCTCGAAATTACGGTAATTACGATATGGCGTGAACGCAGCATTAGTCACCACAAAATGAAAATTCTATCATCATTTACACACCCTCATTTCATTCTAAACCTGCACGACTTTCTTTCGTAAAATCTAAAAGTGAACTCACAGAATGAAAGCATATAGTGAAAATGGACTCTTAAGCCCCAAAACAAAACAATAAAATAAAAAAAATAAAATAAAATAAAATAAAATAGCCATAATACTAGTCCAGAAGACTATACACAACTAAAATGTGTCACCCAACTCTGCTGGAAATACCATTTAAGCTACAGTTTGCTGGTCTAGGCTGGTTTAAGGTGGTTTTACAATCTAACCCAGTGGTTCCCAACCCTGGTCCTGGAGGCACCCCAACACTGCACATTTTGCATGTCTCCTTTCTCTGACACCAATTTCAGGTCTTGGAGTCTCTACTAATGAGCTGATGATCTGAATCAGGTGTGTTTAAGGAGACATGCAAAACATGCAGTGTTGGGGTGCCTCCAGGACCAGGGTTGGGAACCACTGATCTAACCTATTGGTCTCAAACTCAATTCCTGGAAGTCCAAAGCTCTGCACAGTTTAGCTCCAACCCTAATCAAACACACCTGATCCAGCTAATCTTCAGGATTATTAGAAACTTCCAAGCAGGTTTGATTTGGAGCTGGTTGGAGCTAAACTCTGCAGAGCTGTGGCCCTCCAGGAATTGAGTTTGAGACCACCGATCTAACCAATCTGCAGCTAGCCTAGGCTGTATTCAGCTGTTTTTTTTTTTTTTACAGCAAGGAAAATTTATTGTAAAATATGGATTCAGACATGGTATATGCTTTATCTGATCCTACTGTAAAAAGCACATATTTCATATTATATTTAATTTCATTTTATGTTCTACATTTATTTTATTTTACATTTAGGATTGGTATGACATGAGGATAAGTAAATAATGACATCTAATTTCTAGATAAATGAATTCTTGATTGTTTTTCTCTGATAACAAAAATATGTTCTAAGAACATTTGGCTAACGTTCCCATTAAGTTATGAAAATGTTATTTCTGAATGTTCTCTGAAAGTTTGAAATGCTCAGTTTTTATACTTTTTTTTGGGTTATGCTAACGTTAATTAAAACACTAAAGGAATGTGCGATTTAATCATTTTGCAAAAATCAAGGGAATCTTACTTTTCGATATTCTCTGAATGTTCTGAAACAAGTAGCAGCATTTAATAAAATGCTAGAAGAATGTCCAACTAGAAGACGTTCCATGAACAATGTATACAATTTTTGATAATGTTACGAGAACGTTATTGAAAGCTGCATAACTTTGAATGAAAATTCTATTAAGGTTACTGGAAGAACATTTGTTCAAAGCTTTGAGAGAATCTTGCCAGAAAGTTCTGAGAATGTTCGCTGAGTATATGTTCTATATGAATGTAACGTTAAATGCTTGTTAATAAGATGATGTACACAACATAAATGTACAACAGATATAAACATACTGAATGCTTTGGCTCATGATATATATGAAATTACAAGTACAGGGCAGGGCAACAGAGCCGTACCAAGAAGGCATTTCATGGTAATTACTCCTAAAGGCCTGTATGGTGGCCAAAACACTTTAACATCTGCACTGATGGGACGTAAAGACACTGGGCGGCCGGCCAGATCTACATTCCGTAGGGCAGTTGCAGCCTTGAATGCACAAAGGGCCTGATGTTCCCCCCCTTAGCGCTAATAGCCATCTCAATCTGCTTCAGCCTAATTCAGCGGCGTTTGGGTCGTCTTGGTGAACTCTGGAACACCTGACAGGATGTGGGATTGAGCGAGTGCCCTCCACGCAGCTGATTTCAGGGTTGGGCGGAAGCAGCGGCATTCCTGAGTCGCTATCTGGAGCGTAGGCTTTAGCGAGATTTATTAGCAGGCTTTGCGATGAGTCAGGCCATCAAAAACGTCAGCGCGCCAAAATCTTCTTGCAAACAAGATGCTAGTTAGCCAGAGAGCAGTTTGAGACTGTTGCTCAATTTCACGTAGGACTTTGCATAGCATGTTATTAAAACTGACTGAATGTTTTTGTTAGAAAACACATCACAAACCTTGAGGAAGCGGTGCAGGAGGAACGTGAACCAGTTAGTGAGCATCTTCTCAGCCACAGACTCAGTTCTGCAAAAACAAACGTAATTCATGAGTGATTATTATGTTGTGTGTTCTGAACAGTTGCTATGGTATTGCTAGGTGGTTGTTAATGTGTTCTGAGTGGTTTTTAGCATGTTACTATGTGGTTGCTAAAGTGTTCTGGGTGATTGCTAGGGCATTGCTAAGTGGTTGCTAAAGTGTTTTGGGTGGTTGCAATGCTGGCTGGTTGTTTTTTATTTTAATTTAATCTAGCTTACGCTCACTGTTGTACACGGAAGCAGTTCCGGGCGGATGACGTATGAGGTCAGCGTTGCGCATGCGCCGCTCAGAAGTGACGAACGGGGAAGCTCAAGGGAGAGATCAAAACAAAACAACGGTCACTAGTTAGAAGTACAAAACGAGGATTTGTAAAGAAGAATGTCAGAGGATTTTGATATAAGCCAAGAGGAGACTGGTTTTCCTTTGCTAAAGTAAGGAAACTTTGCTTCCTTTGCTCCTGTTAACCAACGTTGGTTTTCACGAGACTCACCAGCGCATGCGCAACACTGACCTCATACGTCATGCTCCCAGAGCTGCTTCTGTGTACAACTATTGGCGCAAGCTAGATTAAAGTGATTATTAAGTTTTGAATATGGATCTTTTTTTTTACAAAAACTCATGGATTCGCTACAGGAGGCCTTTGTTCACCCCTCCCCGGAGCCGTGTGAGACACTTTATTTTTATGGATGGGTGCTTTTTATTTCACTTCTTTTGGACTGAAGCACTGCAACACCCACTGACTGCAATGATAGAGCTTGGAATAGCCAGGACAATTTTTAATATAACTCCGACTGGATTCGTCTGAAAGAAGAAAGTCATATACACCTAGGATGCCTCGGGGGTGAGTAAAACACAGCCTAATTTTCATTTTTGGGTGAACTAACCCTTTAAGGCGTTCTGGGTGGTTGCTAGGGCCTTTCTGTACAGTTGATAAGGTTGTCTGCATGTTTTTTTTGCATGCTGCTGTGCGGTTGCATAATGTTGTAAGGTGTTCTGGGGGTTGCTAGGGCATTGCTAGGTTGCTGCTAGGGTGTTGCTATGCAGTATTTCAGGTGTATTTTGTTTAGGGTGTTTTTTTCATGCTGCTATGTGGTAATGTAGTGTTGTAAGGTATTCTGAGTGATTTCCAGGGCATTGCTATGCAGTTGCTAAGGCATTCTGGGTGGTTGCTAGGATGTTTAGGGTGCAGTATTTAGTGTGTATTTTGTTTAGGGTATCTTTTGCATGCTGCTATGTGGTAATGTAGTGTTATAAGGTATTCTGAGTGGTTTCCAGGGCATTGCTATGCAGTTGCTAAGGTGTTCTGGGGAGTTGCTAAGGCATTCTGGGTGTTTGCTAGGGCATTGTTCTGCAGTAGCTGAGATGTTCTGGGGTGTTGCTAGGGTAGTGTTATGTCGTTGCTAAAGTGTTTTTGGGGTTTCTAGGGCATTGCTATGTAGTTGCTGAGGTGTTCTGGTTGTTTTCTAGGATGTTGTTATGCAGTATGTTCTGGGGGTTGCTAGGTCCTTGCTCATTTTTAACAAGTGTGGTGATAAATCATATAGTAACACTGGAGGAATTGTTATGCTCCACAATTACCATCTCTTACCGTCTAAGCAGTAGTTTGGGATGGTTACGGTTCTCCAGGTTCTTTTCGATCAGGTCAGCAAGAAGCTGTTTGAGAACCACAGTGGCATACTCCATCCGTCCCTGCAGTGCCGCCATGAGGAGGGAGGCCACATTGCCGCGATCCCGCATGGAGAAGGACCTTTGAGCCTCCAGCGTGTGGATGAAGTTCAGCAGGAACATCTTGTTGTGCAGCAGTTGACTGAACAAGCGCAGGGCCTTCTCCACATTAGCCGGAGACTAAGAGGAGAGGGAACATTTGATTAAACGAAAGAAAAAGCAGGAGAACAAAAACATGAATGGAAAAGCCAGACAGGAAGGAGATGAGAGAAACATGCGCAACAACAATTGTTGCCTGAATGCATACTTGAAAAAAAGCTCTGCTGCGGTGAGATTTAATTGTTCTTTGCTGACTATTTTCAAAACATTTTTTGGTAAGGCACGTCTCTAGACGACTATTCCACCAGGGCCTTGCAGGGCTGCTGATTTCATTCTGCCTGAGGTTTTAATTAAAAAGCATGCTGAAAGAGGGGCGTTCACTCTGAAGCTCACTACTGAGACAGCAGTACCGTGTAGCTTCAGAGCTTAGGGGATCTTTTTAAAGCACATCTAGGGTTTTTTCTGCTTTCTTTTTTTGGCAGGAGGATTAAAAGAAAATGGTCTATGAGTTATGGCAACCTACTTATTGGCACTTGCGAGTGACAGATGACATCTGGTGACAGAGAAATCAAACCAGGAGATTTTAAAAGTTCCCTTACGTCCAGCTCCTTTAGAACCGGGTGTTCTTCGATGCCAGGGAACATCACTCTTATGGTGTAGGTACGATACTCCAGGAAAGGGATCTTCACACCGTCCATGTCGTTTGTCAGCTCTTGGATGTCTGTCTGCAGCTCAGCGAATGCTGAGAGTAATAAAGAACAGAAGAGATACGCATCCATCAGACTGAAGAACACCTCATATGCTGTGACAGACAGATATACTAGGGGGATATTTCACCATATTTTGAGATTACTGTCATTAGCTACAATATGGTAAGAAATGGTTATTTTGTGTCATTTCCGTTTCGCATCTTCATGAAATTTAGAAACTTAATGAGATAGAAACACTGAAATATATTAGGGAGTTCTAATCAACTAAACATGATTTTAATTTAATTGGTTTCCTTTGCAACAATCAATATCGAAAACAGTTGTGCTGCTTAATATTTTTGTGGAAATAGTGATACTTTTTTCAGGATTCTTTGATTAACAAAGTTTAAAATAAAAGTATTTGTTTGAAATGGAAATCTTTTATAACATTATAAACGTCTTTATTGACACTTTTGATCAAGTTAATGCATCCTACATTGATCAAAATTGCTTTCGCTCTCTCTCTCGCTATACAGTATATACTGTATATATATGACAGCACTTCTGGAATGAATGCAAACAGTTTCAGTCTCTGGGAAACTATGCCCACTGACAAAAGACACCGAAATGAAAAAACTATAAAATCGCATAAACAGAAAGTTGCATTCATTCCAGTATCTCATGGCATTCTTTTAACAAATGCATAAATAACACAGCACCGTGTCTGCCTGAGCTACAGATCCTTTTAAAGCCGTGAATAAAACCGGTATCAAAGGATGAGGACATTATGACGTCATGACCCAGTTCAATCCCTCCACAAGGCTGCGTCAAACTCTGCAAGAATCCAGGCTACTGCAGTGCGAGAACGCATCCGACTCGCTCCCGTTCGGCGCCCACGGGAGACCAAGCGCACAATAAAATAATACATCACAGCTCCGTTTGATTTATCCTATGGGTTAAAACCATTAGTAGCTCATTAAAACACTCTCCACACCTGTCTGAAACAGCTTGGCATGGGCCATATGCGCCACAGATGCTGAACTACCCCCAAATCTTACCTTCCTTGCACTCTAGCGCGACACGGGACTCCAGATTGTCCATCTGCAACTGTAGGCGTTTGAGCGTGCGGTCGGCGTCCCGCGTCTTGCGCTTGTAGGCGATGAGCACGGCGATGATGGCGATGAGGAGGACGCCGCCGCCGGCTCCGATCCCGATGATGGCAGGCAGCGTGAGAGTGCTGTCAGAATAGATGTGAAGCATTCCAGGAGAATATTCCAGGCCGCCCACGAGGATCTACACACATAGACAAAAGAAACTATTAGAATAGTTTGAGCGCCAGGCCCTTCAATCTAACGACCCTGCCGGCTTTAGTGGGTCATAATGAGGGCTTTTGATTGGCTGAGGGCACTCATACTGTTTCGTCTTGAATTAAATCAGCTCGCAATTAGAATTACCGCAGAACTATGCACTCGTTCGACACGTTCACGTGGCGTTCCTCCACCTGCGGCGAGAGAACAAACGCTCACGCCTCCGTCAGACACCGTGACCACTAATCCACATCAAATTACTTCAAAAAGTCACTTTGGCACAGGTGTGCAGGCAATTAGGCAGAAATCAGCAGGTAATAGAGGTCTACTTAGAGACTGGGGTCCGACTGAGGCATGGTACCGGGAGCTCAGCCTTGCACTATTCGAGGACCAATTAAACGCGGCATCCAGCCGTCTGTCCTAACGAGTTTCACCTTTCTGCGGCTGCTCGGGCCCCGCGTGGCTGCATGAATTATTGAGACTCGGTGATAGAGGGGAACAAAGTGAATCCTGGAGCGCTGTCGATATGTGTCAGGTCATTAGCTGAGTGATCCCGGCACTCTTAGATCCAACTATGTCTCTCTCTCTCATTCTTTTTTCCCTTTTTTTATGGGTGTTTCTCTACACTGTGGATTCACAAACCGGAACTCAACTGAATAATCGGCTCTTTGATACAAATAATCTTTGTGTCCACAGAGTTAGTGATAATCAATCAAACAGGAAGGTGTTGGATTAAATTCAGTGGCATAATGTGAATGTATACCTTACATGGAGAGGAACAGGTCCTGGATTTGATTAGAATTGACTTGTTGTGATGCTATTGATCAGTTCTGAAAGTAATTACTGCAACAAGGTTTGTATTCAGGAAACAGTGTTGGCAAAACACTCAGCGATTTAATAACCAAAACTAGATTTTCTAAAGAAATTCATGTCATGATGCTAGAGTGTGCACTGGGGCGTTGCTATGTAGTTCAGCGGTGTGAATCTTTATGTTGATAGCAAATCGATTAAATTCATGTTTCACTGATTTGATTTAGAAGCGATACTTGCACACATTCTGAACGATTCAGTTAAATCTTACCTTCATTCAGTTAAACTACCTTCATATTATCATTTCAATTTTTTTTAACTGCATTAAATAGTAATTAGTGTATGTATGTATATCTATATATGTGTGTATACACACACACACACACACACACACACACACACACACACACACACACACACCAGTATTTAATATTACATTTATATACATTATTAAATAAATATTATATACATTATACACATTAAATCTATATTTTCAGATTAACACTTCTAATTCATATAAATCTAATAGTTACTAATACATTTAGGCTTTATTTATTTATCCCTTTGTGCTCTGCTAGGTCGTGTATCCTTCTGCAGCCTGCATATAAATTAAACTCTATGGGTCGTAGAGATATCTCGGTCTCAGCTCCACGATTGTGGAATGCTCTACCAGCAGGAATTAGAGATTCTCCAACCTTGAACTGTTTTAAGGAATCTTTAAAGACTCATCTTTTTAAAACTGCTTACTGTAATTGAGTTTGTTTTATATCGTTTCTTTTTTGTGTTGCTTATTGTTGTATACTATTATGCTTGTTGTTGTAGCACTTTGGGTTAAGAAAAGTGCATGATAAATAAAATGCATTATTATTATCCTGATGTGTGTGTGTTTGTATATATATATATATATATATATATATATATACATTTCTTATTTCCAAATAAAATATTCGTTAAAAACTAGAAATTAAATAATTAAAAGTGTGCATGCATTTATTTTATCTATCTATCTATCCATGCATCCATCCATCCATAAATTATAAGTCTGAAAATACATACATATTCATGTACATTATATAATTCTGAACATACACATACATTAACATACACATTACATTGTCAGGCTTATAACTTTATATTAAGCATTTGTAATTTGTTCCCGTTTAATCCTTCATATATACATATTGATTCAGTCATATTTAAAATATTGAATTGGCACGACTACTCAAAAAGCCACATGATTTGAGGCATCATTCATCACTGTAGCACAAACGGTGCAGGATAAAATGTGTTAAAGTTGAATACTTAGGGTCAAGACTTTGTTCAAATGACTAACACAAGTATGAGCAAAAATAATAGTGAGGTTTTCCTGAGCAATGACCATTACTGAAAGCCGTTATTATCAATAAAGGGGGCTGAACATGTCTCAAATGCTCTTTCTAAGCATATGTCAGGGCTCAGGAAGGTTATGAAGGATTCCTGTCTGCTGTTTGTAATAATTGTTTGAGCTGCCGGGAGAGCAGATAGCTAGATTACGTGGGAAATTGCTTGTATCAGCGCTCCCTATAATCCTAATAAGTACTTAATGTACGGCGAGCCACTTCCAGTTGACCTTTATGCTTTCCGTTTTGGCATTAAGGTAAAAAATGGCCATGCGGCAGTGGCTTATTATGAGATTGATTAAATGAGAGGCACAATGCCCGAGTCCATGCAAACCAAACATTCAGCATTTTCGCCATCTTGCAGCCATCCATTCATTTTCTGCCACCTTTATTGATTGATATACAATAAATAAGGAGCCGTAAATTCTCAGTCAGTGCAACGAGAGGTGAGCATGTTTTGCTCTTCAGCTGCACGAGAGGCTCCTTATAGATTAGCTGTTTATAATGCATAATGGGGAAATGTCATAGCTGCATGATCCTCACCATCACTCGCTGTTCTCCGGTCAGATCCGGCGAATCACAGAGCAGTTGAGATTCAGAGACTGTTAACAGACAGGGCGTTTCTCCAATCATCACGCTGTAATTCAGGCGGGCGTTGCCAGGAGCAGGAGGCATGAGGTTCTTGCCCTGTTTACAGATGAAGGCACAGAAAAATGAATTTACCAAAAATGATCAGCATCATTTGATGTGCAGAATTTAAATGTCATGAAAAGTGAATATATATGCATGAAGTAATAATTTTATAATTTTTTACGTTAAATATTTTCAAAATAAAGAATACTATATTTTAAATTGATTAAGAACATTCAGATTTTTAGTATTATGACTTTTTTTGATCACAATTTAGCACATTTAAAAACCCTTAATTTTTTGTTATGCAGTAAAAATAGTTTAAATTGTTAAGTACATTTGTAAAGTATAGGTAAACACTCTGGTAGCATTTAGTGTATTACTCGTTTTAATGTAAGTAAACTTAAAAAAAAAAAAAAAAAAGACATGAGAATTTGGGAATTTTTTATTTGTATTATTAAAAAAAGAAATCCTAATTTAATAAAAAAAGTTCTTAGCGGTCTTTTTATTGCAAAATAAATATTTATAATTCTGCATTTTGGGAACAAAATATTTTAAAGCAAAATATGACATTTTTTCATGAAATTCATCAAAATGCAAATTGAAAAAATGTAAATACAGGATGATGAGATTATGACAAAGGTCATGCCTTCAAGATGATGGGCGATCCTGGTTTGACCTCCAGAATCCCAGTATTCCCAAGGGGGTCGAAGGTCGGGTTTGGATAGTATGTGAAAGGAGTTCCATTGAGGATGAGGAGGGCGGACACATGGTCCAGGATGAAGCCGAACTCATCCGGATGAACTCCGCAATCTGGAACCTGGCGTTTGGTGTAGATGATGCCCGGAGCCAAGCACGTCATGACAGAGTCATTCACCAACGTACAAACCTACAGAGGAACATCCAGACATGAGTTCTTATCACGTAACCAACAAGCTGTTCTTAATGCTGGTGGGGGCAGAGATGAGAAGGACAGCTGGTGGGGAACTCACGTTTGTGGTCTCCACTCCTCCATATTTGGCTCGGACTTTGGGTTCCTGAATGGTTAGCAGATTGGTTCCTGTGACCGTGAGGGTGGTGCTGCCACTATCAGAACAAACAAACAAACAACACTACAATTAGATGACAGATACTCGTTTCATACCTCAAATCGAGTGACTATATGACTGTGGTATTTTGCTAGCGAGTCAGAATTTAGGTTCTAGTGAACAGTAAGCAGCAAAATTTTGAAATAAGCACTGCACCAATTCTATTTTCAGATGGTGGGCCGACTATATTTCTTGTTTCCATTTCATCACACTAAAAATAAACTATTTTAATTTGCTATATATCTGTATCTTTGTGCTAATCAGACTACAGAGTCATTGACATATGCTAACTCTCTATTGGAAACAGCCGTGAGTGAGTTTCTGCCCACGTGGAGCATTTCAATTCATTCATTTCTGAAATTCTATTAGGCTTTGGATGCTGTCTTTGAAGTTAGCGAGACATATTAGCCTGTGTAGACAGCAGACAGTGAGGAATCTCTCTAGGGTTTGGAACAGAGTTATTAAGCATGTGTGAGATTGTGTTAACGTACTTAATGATGCTCCAGTTGGGCTCCACGCTGGAAATGGTTGGATCTTCGGTGTAAATGTAATGCGTAACGCTGGTGACTTCGGCCTTGTCAATGAACAGCTTGACGGATGAAGTACCAGAACCTGATGCTGAGGGTGGCGTCACACACACTATCTCACGCACCGTTCTCCTGTTGGAACAAAACGATGTTATATTACACAAAAACAGACATATTTGAAGCCATTTTCACATTTTTGTCCCTTTTAATTTGAAAAATGAATCAAAACCTGATTACATAAACAACCTACAGTGGTTTGCTGTTCTTGTCTGGCTTTGAGATGGTTTATTTGGTTGTCCAAGCTGGTGTTTCTCTGGTGCCTAAACCCTCTCAGAACCATCAAAATAGACCAGCTTAACCATCTTGCCCAGGCTGGGAGACCAACTAACCACCTTAGACTAGTTTAAGCTGTTTTTTAGATGGTTGAAAGGACCTCTAATGTGTTGTGGATGCTGGTTTCTCTACCAGCAAAATGTTTTGGGCAACCAGCATCACCAACTGAGTTTTGTTGGTAATCAACATGACTAGACCAAAATAAACCAGTCTAAACTTGAATGGGAATACATGCTGGTCTTTTCAGCCATTAATGGCATAAATTGCTATCAGACTGGCTTTAAAAGCACCTTAATGTCAGATTTAATGATGTAGAACAAATGAGTGTTTAATAATTACATAATTACAGAAACTGCTTAGTTCGGAGAAAGATGGAATCAGAAGTTAAATAAATAAAAAAAACATAAGAATATTTTTCTAATTCTGTAGTCATTAAATGTTCAAATATCCATTAAAAATTTTAAATTAAATGATGTGTACACATATTATTGGGACCATTTTAATAATCATTGTAGTCACTAAATATTCATTAAAAATAAACACTTTTTAATATTTATTTGAATATTTTATGGATATTTTATGACTACAGTGCTAACTGATTGACTGAAATGGAAATGGAAGTTGAAAAATATATATATTTAATTTTTTATTTAATTTTTATGTTTAATTATGTTTCTTCTACCAGCAAGGTTTCTTTGGCCAACCAGATTCACCAGGTGAGATTGGTTAGTGAAGAACATGACTAGACCAGCATAAACTAGTTCATAGTCTAAACTTGAAGGGGAATACATGCTGGTCTTTTCAGCCAGTAAATTGCTTTTAGAATGGCTTTAAAGGCACCATAACGTCAGATTTAATGATCTAGAACAAATAAGTGTTTAATAATTGCATAATTACAGAAACTGCTTATTTCTAGCAAAAATGGCTGGTAAGTTGGATAAAAAATGAAAATAAAAATAAATAAAAACAGTTTTAAAAAAATATTTTCTCATCTTCTAATTCTGTAGTCATTAAATGTTCAAATATCCATTTACAATTTTAAATTAAATAATTAAGTGTGTGTGTGTGTATACAGTGCCTTGCAAAAGTATTCATACCCCTTTATTTCTTTTACATTTTGTTATGTTGCTGCCTTATGATAAACTTCTTTAAATTACTTTTTTCCACATCAATCTACACTCCATACACCATACTGACAAAGCAAAAACAGAATTGTCACAACTTCGCAAATTTATTACAAATAAAAAAAAACTGAAATAAGTATATTGCACAAGTATTCATACTCTTAACTAAATATTTAGCTGAAGCACCTTAACAGCCTCAAGTTTTTTTTTGTTTGATGCGACAAGCTTTGCTCATCAGCATTTTGCAATTATCTGCCATTCTTC